CTTCAATCTCAGCTTCATAACACCTGTAAAGATATCATGGCTGTAAGCATGTGAGTAAAGGTTTAATACTCAGCCCATCAACATCTACACTGTCTGCCAGCTAATGGCATAAAGTAAAAAATAATTTGCAAATATCAGCCTTCATTTTCAGGGACAACACAGATCACACCACAAGGTTGTTCTTAAGGCCAAAAGGACACAAGTACAAAGATTAGGTTCTGTTATATTTGACCTTAAGCATCAAGAACCAATGATCTCAGCAGTTATCAAGACTAATGATTAATGCTTGGGCAGTCTAATCAGAAATCTTGACTTTGTTTCTAATTCTGGCAGGCCACGGGACTGGAAAAAGCCCCAATAAGATACAGTATTCAAAGAGTACAGCTTTCAGGGAGTTCAGTGAGAAGTTCTGGAACATGGTAGCTTGTGACTATAAAGATTTGGTCGCATTTTCTTTCATATGAAGAAGAGTTGAGAAAACCTCAGGCACTAGAAATATTTCTTCTCCAACACTTATAAAGTTTCAGAAATTAGGAAGTCAGAATAAACTGGTTTGGTTCCCAGAACTTTAAATGCTTGTGCAGTGGAGACTAAATTCAAAAATTCTACAGCTACTTTACAGTCAGTTATTTCATAGCCAAAAAATAACATTTTAAATTAAAAACTAATTTCCAATTATTCACACAGATTGAGATACAGAAAACACTTTTTCTTCATAGTGATCGATTACAAACACATGAATATGATATTATGAATCATATAGCCTGAAACTTTATGAAACACTGCCATAAAATCAATTAATGAAAGTCTGCCATTTATTACATTAATAAATGGTCATTCACCATTGCTACTCTGCTTGTATAAGGTTAGTAACAAACAGGGCATTTCTAGGAAATGACCCCCACAGCTCTTTGCTTTATATCTACAGTGCTGATCTAAAGGGGTACCATGAGAACTAATTCTGTAGTTCTTTCCCAGTTTCTTTTTGCTTACTAGTTGCCCTAAGGGCAGTTCAAGCTGAATGAAAGTCTCTTACCATGGAACTATTTCATGTAACGGTTAGAGAAGTTTTCTACACTTACTGTCCATCCTCACTCCATATTGCCATACACCTATCCCCAACCTTCCAGGAGTGACTGGGGAGAGCAGAAGCAGAACTGTCAGAACTTGCAAGAGTTTCTGAAGGTTGCGTAGAAAGGAGATCTTTGGTCAGTTCTATGACTTCCTACAAAAGACAAAAATAACACACAATTTTTCAAGTCCCGTTGCCGTTCATATTTTAAAAAACTGCACACCTACATAAGAGATATGAGCTTCCATAAAACTTTAAGTCACCTATTATTTTTATACAATTGCATTCTAGAGGAATTGTTTATCCATAGGCATAAAGACACAGCTAGGCAGCCTCGAGGGAAAGAAACTAAAAAAATAACAACAGTGGTATCACTTTTTGTACATGGCTGCATGTTTTTGTATTCCTACTGTACATAACACTCCTGTTCTCTGTCTAGCCAGCAGTTATTTCCATCCCTTCCACACTGGAACTAGCTGACTATTTTATACGTAGTCATCTATAAAATACACAGCTATAATTGTAGCAAATCTAAGTAATCAAACACTTTTCAGTTTATTCAAAAATAGGTGGGTTGGCTGAACTGATGCACTCGAAGCCACGGTGGAAGAGTGCTTTCTAGGATTAACATTCAGTAAAGCCCTTTCTTTTCTAAAAATCATTCTGGTGCATATTAAAGAAATAGATTTCTTTAAGTCATTTTAGGTGTCTCCTTTTTCTCCACGTTCCGTGACCTCAAGATTTCAGGTCAGGCATTCCCTTACTAATCCAGCAAGTTTTAGGTTGGTTTTAGTTCTTGTGCTTAACAAATTTCTCCATTTCCTTTAACCACTATTCATTCAAATAGGAGCACACAGCTAGCCCTCTCTTCTCCAACTTCCACCCCATATTATATTCTTATTCCCCAACACTGAAACCACTGATTTTGACTAGAATTAACAAATACTTAGGAGCCAGCATCTAAAGGAACATTGAGCTTTCTGTGTAAGGCAAGGGAACTCTGCAGTCACTAACAATTTCTCACACCTCAAGAGTTTCACAGCATGAAACACTGACGCTCATCCAACTAACAGGAAATAACTCAGTTATTGACAGTTACAGATAAACAATAATCATCTGAGGGTCAGTGGATACTCAGTTTTCCTCACAGCTCACTTCAGCTGTGGACTTAAGAAGACGAGCTCAGGAAAAGGTGGTGAAGCTATTCTTCATTCCTCAAGAACATAAAGGATCATAAGCAGTTCCCAAGTAGCAGGTTAACACAACATACCCTTCTGTGCACTTTTATCCGATAGCCTACACAACTACAATGAATGTCCTGTTTGTTTGTTGCAGCTGTTAATGTCTTAATTTATCAGCACCTCTCTAACAGAAGCTCTGTTCTTTGTTTTAAGGACCTGCTTGTTTCTGAACTTGACAGTAATCACAGTGGGTAGCAACCACAAGCACAGTGACATGCTGAAAATTACTTCTATTTAACTTTGGCCTCTATCTTCTGTAACATTATAGCTGACCCAAAACAGATTCTGAGGTTAGCTAATTTGAGAGAGCTCTTCAGAAAATACAGCATCAGCATAATTTTTCTTTCCAGGTGAGAAATCCCAAACTGGTAATCAACATACCGCTAGCTATATTCTGAAAATCAAGAGGCATGGTTTGAAATGGGTGTCACCTCAGCACATCAAATATATGTAAACTGAGTTCCAGCATGTCAGCTATGCAAGCCACCAGCGCGATACAGAAGTGGTGAATTGTTCTCACCACATTTGTTGGTGGTTTATTATAGAACTCAAAATGGGAGTAGCTGAAAAGCAGGAATTCTTCAAATCTGATGAAGTCATTTAAACATCAAGCAAAAAATAGCAAACTTTTGGTAAAAATCTTCCTGAGGTAGTTCTGTAGCAGTCCTTAAGGGAATAGCTTATTCAATGAAAGCTTTTGAACAAGAGACTACCACAGCAGCTTAGTCCAGCCAACTGAGCTGAGCAGCAGGGCGGGCTGCCACGTCTCTGTGGCACAGAAGCGTGACCTGCAGAGAATTCCTGTGTGAGTTTGTCAGGGTTTTTCCTCACCAACTGTTCTCTAAGAACTCAGGCAGAACTTTATATTCTAGAGTGCAACACCTGCTAACATCATCTCTAACTACAGAACACGGTGGCTGTCATCAATTCTACTTCATGCAAAATGCAAAGTTTGTTGCTTTACTGCATGGCCGATGTCCAAAGCAGCCCTTCAGTGAAACAAAAGGCAAAGAGCAAAACATTTATAAAAATTTCTTGTAATATTTATTTTAATCCTGTTAATCAGGAATAAGCTCAGTATACAAAATGCAGAAGTGCATCTCTTTTTAAAACGTAAGAGGCTCTTTCAATTTCATGGTAAGTCTTTCTAAACAAAAGACTGAACAAAAGAAAAGCTCCACAGCCAGGACACAACTCACCGAACCCATTTTTACAATTGCTTGGTTGACATATTAAGTCTGCAAAACATTGTCTATGTCATTTGCAAGGTGGAACATATGAATAGCAAACCTTTTGGGGACGAAAGTGTAAACATCTTCCCCATTCTGTGCAGAAAGCTTTTATAAAAAAGTTTGCAAGTTGTCCTTTCACATCAATGATCTCTGCATATCAAAGCCGAGGTCGTGTTGATATCATCCCATATGGGTTTTGCTGTGCATTTTAAAAATATAAAAATATACACATGCTTTTAACAGTGTACAACAAAGGACATTAAGATGATCTATTAAGTGCCCTGTGGGCAGCAAGCCTTTGTAATTTAAAGGAATTCTAAAGATCACTGACTTGAGGCACTACTCGTATCTTGGTTGATGCATCATTCTCTGCTGCTTCTCTACTCAGAATACTGGCTACTCTGTTTCGTACTGGGCAGTTTTATGCATCTTAACGTTTCACTGTATTAAACCAATCCACAGCAGAAAGGAGGCAGCATCTCACATGACATTTGAACAGTACTGCTGTTTTCTTATACACCAAACTAACTTTATATACATAAGAATCTGAAAGCCCACTTATCAACTTAAAATTAGCCGGTGGTCTTTCTGGCACTGAATGGTACCTTAAACACAGAAATGGTTTTAGCTTTTTACAGGGCGGGATGCTCAAACATTTAAAGAAACTGCGGGTAGCAAATGAAGGACACATCTGTCTTCCTTTGTAATTTTGTAACGTTTAGGAAACTCTGTTGCTGTTTTTTCCCCCCTAAACCAACCCTACCATAATTCCAACAAGTTATGAGAAAAAGAATTAGAAAACCTACCAGCCAACATTTCAGTTGCCACAGGGACATCTAGGAAAGGTGAAAAACCACCAAATACCTACGAGCCGCTCCCACCCCCTCACCTGTAAGTCCTTCTTTAGCTTCAGCAAGTCCTCGTTGTCAGCATTCCCAGACAAGGCCGCCTCGACCTGCTGGAGCTGCGCCTTGTAGCTGGCCAGCTGCTTGGCCAGGTCTTCGGACATCTGCGGGGAACACACCGCTCAGACACGGACAGCGCAACACCGGGCGAGCAGCTTCTGGAACCGCGCTGAGAACCGCAGCAGGGCTGGCAGCCCGCGCCGCCCGCTGCCGGCAGGCTCAGGCCGAGGCCGATCCGAGGCCCGGTCGCGCGGGGAGACCGGGCCGGCACGCAGGCCTAGGCCCAGGCCCGAGCGCGGGCTGCCTCCCGGAAGGCAGGGAGAGGCCGCGGGGCGGCAAGGAAGGACCGGGAGGGACCGAGCAGCCGCTTCTTACCTCGGCGGGCGCTGTGGGGCCCGAGGGCCGGGCCGGGGGCGCCGCGCTGGGAGCCGTCGGGCCGCCGCCGCCGCCTGAACCGTGGGCCGAACTGCGGGGGGAGACGGGAAGTGGGCGGAGCCGAATGCCAACGCGCGCCGGACCTCGCGAGAGCGGCCCTGCGAGTCACGTGTTTCTGGAGCGCGGCGCCGATTGGTGGAGCGCGTGCGTCGCGTTGAAGAGGGACTCCGATCGCTGCGCAAGGGAGTGAGAGGAGGGGAGGTGGGAGCGCGCAGGCGCAAATCTGGGCGTTGGTCTCAGGCGCATGCGCGGGGCCGAGAGCGGCGCTGCGGGGCCGTTGGAGCCGGGCGGGGCTGCGGGGCGCGGGGTTCGGCTGCGAGTGGTGATTTACTGGAAACTCTGTTGCTATGGCAGGAGAGAGGGGATGCTTTTTTTCTCTTGTTTTCTTCAAATCAAAATAATGCCTTTTTAGAAGCTCTTTCACTACGTGGTATCATTTAAGCATGCGATTCCACATATAAGAAAACAACCCAGGACCTGAAACCACCAATCTTGAACTCTTATAAATTGGAGATTTACATTAATTATATCCTTAAAGCTGACTTGTCTTCGCCTTTGCCTGCAGATGTTTTTTTGTTCTTGACAAAATGAGGTCTTCTGTACTGAGAAAAAACATAATATAGGCTTCATGCTATCTTAGAGATTGCAGTTCTCAAACAACGTGTTCTCTAGTTCGTGGGACGGTCGGTGTTTGGAGAGTTATCTATTAGCTCTATCTAAAATAATATATATCCGATTGCCGAGACTCTGTTCTTTGTGTGTTTGTTAAGAGATCAGAAGAATTTCACACGTGCGTGTGCCGTATCTGGGCATTTCTCACTGTACTCAGCGCTTTCGTGTTTGGGCAGCAGAACTTCCTCTCTTCACAAACCCTGAGGTTACAGAGCCGTGCCTGTGCTGCAGTTTGCTGGGAGACGTGTTTCCATCAGCCGGCTGATGTACGGACGTGCTTTTGGGCTGCCTCTGGCCGTTGTTGTCCAGCAGGTGGTGCTGCTGCCGCGCACACGGCGAGCCTGGTAACGAGCATCGCAGAAACTTCTATTGTCCAACCGAAATTACAGCTCTTTTGGCGTTATTTTTATAACTGGAACTAATAGCAACATATATCTGAACTTATTTTCGAAGACATCTGGATCTATCCATTCTTTTGATGTGTGCGTTTTCTAATGTTAAGTCCTGAAGCAGTAAAGGGTGAGACAGGAGGTGAGGGGTGAGTGTTCAGCACAGAATCACAGAATGGCCAGGGTTGGAAGGGACCTCAAGGATCATGAATCTGCAACCCCCCGCCACGTGCAGGGCCACCAACCTCCCCATTTAATACTAGACCAGGCTGCCCACGGCCCCATCCAGTCTGGCCTTGAACACCTCTAGAGCATCCACAACTCTCTGGGCAGCTGTTCCAGCACCTCACCACTCTCTCTGTAAAGAATTTCCCCCTGACATCCAACCTAAACCTTCCCTCTCTCAACTTAAAACCATTTCCCCTTCTCCTGCTGTTAGTAGAAAAATCATACCTGAAGGCTTCTCATGTCCTTGTTGTTCAGCTTTATATGGACAGGTTGCTGGGATCTTGTCACTGGTAAAAATGTGGCTTTTGCAAACAAAACAGCCTTTGTCACAGAAAGTGAAATGTGAATGTGGACCCAAATGGAGAAGCTGGAAGTTCTGATACTTTCCTGGCAGGTATTATCCTGGTCCTAGCGCAGTATATCTGGCTTGAAAGGTGGTGAACGGTTCCTTGGGATCAAACTGCCAAGTATTTATTGATGCTTCAATTACAAACATTGCTTTCCTGAAGATGTTTTTGTTTTCCTTTTAGTTGAACTGTGCTTCTGAGCAAAGCTTGTTTTTTGCTGTTTGTTTTTTTTGTTTGTTTTTTTTTTTTTTTTGTGGTTGTTATTCTATTTTTCTTTCTGTTTATTTGTATAACTGTTTGTTATTGTAGGCAGAGTTATCCAGTTTGTCCATAGATGCAGTTTTGTGATATTTGCTACTGCAAGGCATTGTTTTTGTTGCTCCTGCAAAGTTTGGGCTGAGTTGTTTTTTCTGCCCTGGCTCTTTGGTTCTGACAAGACTTTGGAAACCTCCAACAGCTTCATCTTATAAAACTGAATTACAGAAAAAAAATGCTCATGGGCTTGGCATGAGATTACAAGCCAACAGGTTAAGAGTTTCCAGTGTCTCTTTGTTCTAAATCATGGACTTGAAATTTCATACAGAAATTCTTCTTGTTTTAAGGATGGTTTGGCTCTTGTTGGCTTGTTCGTTTGTTTGTTTGTTTTTGCTCTTACACTCTTCTGAAACTTGACCTAATTATTGGTGTTTGAAATACCTGTTCTTACAGGAGTTTGTTTGAAAAGTGAATTAGGTAAGCATCCACAGCTCTGAACACAATTAAACTCTCTGTAACCCCAGTACCCAACCTGAGGTATGGTGCTAAGCAGAGAAACTGAGAGTTCTAACATGTTCTGTACTCTGAATGATTACAGTAATTATGCCCCATCAGTGAAAAGGCCCAGTGACTCAAAGTGAGGGGGAGAGGTGAATCAGAATTGAATGAGGATTAAGAGACAGGGCGGAGCATCGTGGAGATAAGAAGAAAAGGTCAGAATTAGGAAGAACCAACAGAAAGCCTGCATCCATTGGGGCATCACCTGCTCCAGAAGAGCCTGAGGTTCTGGGCTTTCTGTTCACCTGCTGTTGACAGCTTTGTGAAACTTGACAAAATGGTAGCTCCCATAGGAAATCACAACCTGCCAGCATGTGGCTGATCTGTTGGATGGGTCTGCATCAGGCCTACACAACAGGCAGATTGTCAGGTGGTTTTTCAGCTCAACGTTTGCTTCCAGTATGGAGGAATGTGCCACATCAAGGCGTGACTTCTCTCTGAGAGGCTCTCTACCGTCTGTGTCAGTGAGCGTGTCAGTGCTGGCTGCCTGGGGCCTTCAGCAGGCTGCTGGAGATGCTGGTTCTGCAGCTCAGGGTGCTGGGAAGGCTGTGGCTGAGATTGCCTCTGTTCACACGAAGTTGGGATGAGAGCTAAGCTGAGAAGATGATGGGAGGCTGGAAATAGGGAGCAAGGGCCAGCGCAGTGGGTAGAAGTGCCTGGGAGGATTAGAGGAGCCTGAAGCAGTGAGCCAGCAGCGTGGGAGGGTTGGGAAGCAGGAACTCGAGGTTAACATGGGAACAGCGTAGGGGTACTTTGTGTTTATGTGTGGGGAGAGACCTGGGAAGCACGGAACAAGGAGTGCTGCTGTGATGAACGGAGGGATTGGTGTGGGGGCAGGAGACAAAAGCCTGGCAGCAGCTCCGCTCTGCTCCCAGCAGCTCTGCTGTGTGCCAGCAGCCCCTGCTCTGTGCTGGCATCTGACAGCAGTGCCCCCTCAGCTGTGTCTGTGCTGCTGCCCTGAGCCCACCCAGCCCTGCTGGTGCCAGCGCTGCAATGGGCTCCTTGCGTGACTTGGCTTTCATTCTGTTACCCACTTTGCTTTTTGTCTTTTATTAATGCAAGCACATTTTGTTGTGAGAATTAATACAAAGCAAGCACCTGAAATCCCAGCATGAACCTTGCCTACACATCTGTAGTTTGACCACTTCTGCTTGCGTGTTAGGCTACGGTCTTTAATTACATTATCAAATGCCTTCATCCTCTTCCTCTTAATCTCTGTTCCATTCAGTACACAGGATTTACAGCAATCGAGGATGTGTAGTTAAAATAGTAAAAAAAAAAAGATTGTTGTTTTTAAGTTCTGCTTCTCTTTTTGTTGCATTTTAAAGGAAGGTGAGATGAGAGAAGAGAAAATGAGGTTTGCAAGAGGGCAACAGAGCGCCGCTATAGAGATCTGAGTTTAGTTTCCTGTGTGGGAATATCTGCACTGTGTGAACGATGTGGACTTGAGTATAGAAAAATAAAGCTGAGAGAGTAAGCATAGAGCAGATTCCACCATGGGACTTGACACTGGAAACTGACTGAAGGAACTCAGATTCAGCTGGAGGTACTTCTGCTGCCAGTGGGGCATGATTGATTGCTTTCAGGAACTCTGTGCTTTCCTAGTTATGAAGGATCATAACGTCTTGACCTGCAACAGTTACCATTCCTCATCAGCGTTCCTTAAGCTGCATTGGGTTGTTGTTTTCGGTCATCAAAAACAAAATGTAGTAATTTGAGACAGGATAATTTATTTGTAAAGGGAGTGCTATGTATTTGATGCCTCTTCTAAAGTTAATGAGATCAGAACTTTAATTAGCCCCTCAGACACTTTTGGTTATTTGTATCTATATTTCTCTGCCCTCCAATAGAAAAAGGGATAATAAAGTTACATTGTATTATGGAAATATATTTAAAGAATGCTGAGATGCAATACTGATGAGTATCAAGGAGAGGCAGTAAGAAAAGGAAGAATTCTCTCTTTAAAATAGAATTTGAGGAGTCCTTAGCAAAGACTTTATCTGAAAGAAGAGGTGAAAATGTTGAAGTTATTTTGGCAAGCTCTGCTGACATTGAACCAGGTTGTGAGCAGAATGAAAGACTACTGAAGGCCACTTTGTCATGCCATGTTTTACTTCCATGCTGAGAGCATTGAGGTTGCCCATAGTCAACATTTCTAGGGGTGAACTATGCTGGGGTTATTTTTGTTGTTTACATCACACATGAACCACTAGAGAAACATCGTCTGTTCTGTAGTAGCTGAAGAATTCACATGGACCCATGTACTTTCTTCACCAACGTGAACATGTATGGTCTACATAACATCCCCAAAACGCACATCCCTGTTCCAAACTCTTCCATCATTCCTTTTACTGACAGACTTTGAGACACGTTCTGCTAAGTGAGAGAATTTCTAAGGTATGCGTATAGCGGCGAGATGAGGCAACAGCCCATCTCATTGCAAGAATGGACTTGTTAAATGTTCCCTTCTACATGGTGTTAGTCACTACTTGAGCCGCAAGGTTGCTTTCATGTGGTTTAACATCCTGTTCTTGGTAACGTTGTCTTACACCTGATGCAATGCTTAGGGAAGCTGAAATTCCTGCAGATGTTTCCTCAGAAAATGAAACTGAAATTTCTCTTACAGTAATTGTTGTGCATGTCACTGCAGCTGTCTCCAAACAAAGTCAGTTTGGATTCTTGGCAAGCAAATATCATTATTTAGAGGCTAATAATGAAAGGAGGGTGTCTCACTTGAGCAGTTAAAACTCTC